GGACCCCCTACCGCCCGGCTCTGGAAAGGAGAAAAGGGGTGAAACTTACCTTTTTCCAGCTCTGGGCGGAGAGCTCTCCTACTCCGATCCTCCTCTACTCCTCCCCGTCGGCTGTATGCGCACACGCGGCAAGAACTGCGCGCGCATTCAGCCGGTCACATAGGAAAGCATTCATAATGCTTTCCTATGGACGCTGGCGTGGTCTCACTGTGAAAATCACAGTGAGAGGACAGCCGCTAGAGGAAATAGGGGAAGGCTTAACCCATTCAGAAACATAGCAGTTTCTCTGAAACTGCTATGTTTATGAAAAAATGGGTTAACCCTAGCTGGACCTGGCACCCAGACCACTTCATTAAGCTGAAGTGGTCTGGGTGCCTAGAGTGGTCCTTTAAGTGTGTGTGCATCTGCATGCACTGGCGTACATACCGCGGTCGCAGCCCTGTAACCTCTGCAACCAGGTGCCCACCGTCATGTGTTGCGGCCCGGCCCGCGCGCGGGACGGGGGGCCCACGGATCAATTTTCGCACCGTGGCCCCATGAGTCATGTGTACGCCACTGGTACCTTATGAGTAAATAGCCAGGTAGTAGGATAAGGTGATACAGGCGATCTGTAGTAACCCACGAGAGTAATAGTGAGTTTCCAGGGTTATATCAATATGTACCCATCATTCCCCCTGCAAATCAAGATACCTACCGAAAAATATTCCAACAATAAATGACTGGAATCAAATACTCCAAATGATCAAGGATGCCTATGCCTAGTAATACAGAAAAATATACATAAGGACCCAGGTCATGCGAGTCCACCAGAGGATCATTAATCGTGATTACTGACCTATGACAGGTGAACAGTTGATAGGGTAGCAGCACCTTGTGGATGTTTGTGATACTGACACATAAAAGGATCATAATCTCTAAATTGCTAACCTTGCCGAACGTAAATCTGCATAATACGTAATTACCAAAACATTTAATACTCCTAAATGGGTAGCTACGATGTACGTGCTTAGATATAACTGAAGTAGAAACAAAAAGACCCCGTAAGCCAAGGTAACACATTCTTGTTAACGATCCTGTTGACCACCGGGTTTATTCAAAACATATATCATAATCAGCAAATACGTGCCACAAACTACTGCTGCCAATATCATCAGGACAATTAGCACCAGTGGCGTTTTTATGACATATGCTTTCTTATCCTGTAACAAATGCCAACATATTAAATGTAATTATGCCACATGTCATAACCCTTATGACCACCAGGGGTCAGCCAGACATTTTTACCCCAATTCAGAACATATGGTGAAACAGTGAAGGCAGGAGAAAGGTGAAAAACGAAATAAAAGGTCCAGCCATTAGATGTCGCCCTAATACATATAGCCATCTTATAATCGAATATGAACAGCGTTTCGTTAACCGAACGGCCACGAGATGGCCCGAATAAGCAAAGTATGTCCCAACCGAATAAACCCTGTTCACTTATACCCATATGAAAATATGACATACACGAACGCCGGCATTCGTTTAAATATGAACCGAACAAGTGGTACTATGCGTGCGCCCGTCGACAATTGATGACGTGCAACGGCTGTGGCGAAACTTGCGGTGGCCGTAAAGACTTACGATTTTGCGACCTGGTGCCACCACGAGAAGCCCTGCGAAAACCCCTTGCCTGCTTTCAAGTCAGAACCGGAGGAACCGGAAGTGACGACCTCTCTCCGCAACTCGCCAGACCTAACAGGTAAGACCTTAAGAAGGGGAACCAAGCCCCTCCCACAACTTCAGGCCCTGCCTTTCATATATATATATATATTTATATATATTTTTTTCTAATTTATTAACTTTTTTACTTTTTCTTAACTTTTTTCACCAGCAGGGGTGTCAGTTCAGGCAGTCCCCCTGCTGGCAGCACTATGGACACCTATAGCAGCCCTGTGACACATGGCCCTTGGGGGTCCTTTTTTGCAGAGGTGGGACTGTCTGGGCTGTCAGACAGTCCCCCTATAGAAGAAGAAGAACGATCACCGGCAGGGGGAATGGCAGCGATCGGTAAGTACATGGGAGAGGGAGATGGAGGGAGGGAAAGGGAGGGAGGGGGTTAATTTAAAAAAAATTTTTTTTTAAATTTTTTACATTTAATTTATTTATTTATTTTACTGAATGCCTTGACCTCTCGAGGCACTAAGCACAGGCAGAGCATCAGAAGCCTGCCTGATGGCTTCCGATTCTCTGCACTACACTGACGGGCGCCACGAGTGAGAGCCCAGGAGGGGATCGCTCCGGGAGGGCGATCACTTTGGGTCCCGGTGTTCCGTCAGATTAGTATACCTTGTCAGAATGGTATACCGGAAGTGACGCGGCCGCACCGAATGTGACGCGGCCGCACCGGACATGACGATTGGGAGTAGGAGGAGGAGGAGCACAGCGCCGCGCAGGCACAGAGGAACAGGTAGGAGAAAATTTCTACCACACTACAGATAGGAGGGTGCCTACTGCGCATGCGCGAATACCACACTGCGCCTGCGCCAGGAGCCACAAGGGAGGGGGGAGGTAGGGGAGCTAACGGGCCAGTGCGCACGCGCGCCTAAGTACTCCCGTCGGCCACACACAACGGGATACAGTGCGCACCAGCGGCCAGGGAGATCGATTCAGCCGAATATACATCCGATCTCCCTGCCCCACACTGCGCACGCGCCTACCCAGCCAGGACAGCCACGGACACCGCGCATGCGCACTGAGGGGGTATAGAAATCTGATGGCCATATCTTCTTCTAAGAAATCTCCTACCCCTGAGTGCGCATGCGCGGTGTCTGCACTGCATCCTGACACCTATCAGTAAGCTCCCAACACTCTCAGCCATCAGGGGGGAGGGGGACTGTGCTGTATTGGGGGGTCTAGACAGTATTGGTGGGTCTGGACATTATTGGGGGGTCTGGACATTATTGGGGGGGTCTGGACATTATTGGGGGGGTCTGGACAGTATGGGGGGTCTGGACAGTAGGGGGAGTCTAGGCGTATGGGGGTCTAGACAGTATGGGGGTCTGTACAGTAGAGGGATGTACAGTATTGGGGAGTCTGGACAGAATGCAGAGAGGTCTGAACTTGGTATGGGGGAGTCTATGGACAGTATGGGGTCTGGGCAGTATGAAGTCTGGACAGTATGAAGTCTGGACATTATGGAGGAATGTACAGTATTATTAGGCTGGACAGTCTGAGGGGTCTGGACAGTATGGAAGTCTGGACAGTATGGGGGTACAGTATTGGGGGTCTGTACAGTATGGGGAATGTGTACAGTATTGGGGTTCTGGACAGTATGGGGGAATGTAGTATTGGGGGTCTAGGACAGTAGCAGAGTCTGGACAGTATGGGGGTCTGTACAGTATGGGGGTCTGGACAGTATGGGGGTCCTGGACGGTATGGAAGTCTGTACAGTATGGGGGGGTCTGGACAGTATGGGGGTCTGTACAGTATGAGGGGGGTCTGTACAGTATGGGGGGGTCTGGATAGTATGGGGGGTCTGGGCAGTATGGGGGGTCTGTACAGTATGGGGGGTCTGGACAGTATGGGGGTCTGTACAGTATGAGGGGGGTCTGTACAGTATGGGGGGGTCTGTGCATTATTGGGGGGGCTGCACAGTATATGGGGGGGTCTGCGCTGTATATGGGGGGCTGTGTGTTAGATGTGGGGGTCAATGTGTTAGTTGTGGGGGGGCAGTGTATTAGATTTGGGGGCTGTGCGTTAGATGGGGAGCTGTACAGTACGTGTGGCCTGTGTGTTAGATGTGTACAACCCCAGTTTCACAGAAAAATATTTATTTCCTAGATATCATATGCCATGGCATGCTTTTTGCTATGAAACCGCAGCCATCAAGTCACTCGCCAGAGAAGGATGAGAAACTGCACCCCAGCGAGAGGGACTGCCCCACATCGGCAACCAAATTCGTCGGTCACCGGATTCAATAATCTCCGTCTCTTTGTGCATAGTGTATGTATGGTACTCCCGATTCTTATATTTAATCCGGTGTGTCTCCCACAATCTTTGTGTCTGTCTGCTGTATGTATGTGGCACGCAAGTCTGCATGCACTGTGTCTGTTATGCCAGTTACTCTAACCAGTTTATTTCTTTTTGTGTGTGTCACAGCTCTGACAAGCATGTTCTCCTAGGGGACACGAAGTACATGAAGAGGAATGAAGAAGCCCATGTTTGATGCTCGTCTCCAGGGTGGAGTATTTTGAATTTATAAGTAATGAAGTGGCATCTGACACATGACAAGCTGCTCCTGTTTGCACAGCAACTTCAACATTGTGTACTGTGATCACTGTCTAGTTCAGAGGTAGGTAACCTTGGGCAGTCCAGATGCTGTGAATTACATCTCCCATGATGCTGGCAAACCATTATGGGAGGTGTAGTCCAAAACATCTGGAATACCGAATGCGTCTGAATGAAACGTATGGTGTGTGTGAATGGTCAGTAACAAGGGTTGAAGCCTTGACGTGGCGTTACTGCTCACATGTGTATTCATGTGCCAATTCAACCAATGTGAGTCACTGTAATACTTATAAGGTAACCAAAAGTACTGTGATTGTGGA